GCAATTGACGTCAGGCCTTGCAATCAATAAGAGGATGGGAAGTCTGATTGCGCCAGGTAGAGCAAAAGTCAAACGTGGTATAGGGCGGAAAGGGAATCGAGTAAACAATGGCAGCACGAGCGCAGGAGAACAATAAGACCGTTGGAGTCGATAAAGCTGGGCGTTAGATTGTGGTCACTGGGCCGTACGGAATGAACGTTGCCTGCAAGTTTAATCATCTCCCGTAATTGAGATAGGTACTCTGTATATGTACTATTCGATCCTCATGCAGAGGATGATCGCATTCGGAGAGGCATCATGATTCGCGATGCCGTGCCCAGAAAGCCCTCAAACTGATACTTTCCGAGGATAATCTAGACCAACTTACATCGAGAGGCGGCAGCGCCCATGAAAGTAGCATCAGTGTTTGCAAGTAGCACAAAATAAACGAGTATCAAGATCATAACTCTACACCACCGCCGTCCCAACATAACTACAAAGAGTTGACTCTTTTGTGACTGGCGTAAGGCCAAGGGTACCTACGATGATTTCATCAAAGATCGCTACATAACTCTCCGTAAAATTGAGCTTCAAGCTTCGTAGTACAAGCTTTTTCAATCGGTGCGAGCTGTCCAACGTCTGTGATGTCTTCATCGCACAGTCAACGCTCCTGGATGTCGGAAACTCGAGCTTGAGATGAATGAAGGTCAGACATTTCAGCGACGAGAGGTTTAGCGGAATACAAACAAGGCTTCGAATCAGCAAATAGTGCATGCTCAGGCGACATAGACAGACCGTTAACCGAAGAAACAACCAAGACGAGGTGCTTCAGTGTTTACCAGTTGGACCTCATCAACAATTCCAAGGTCACCGTTGGCGACCCGGTGGCGGACGACTCTCCAATGGTGTGTATATCCAGTGTCTTCAGCCTACGACAGCGCGACTGAAGCCATTGAAGGAGACTCTCAAGCCTTGTACCACCTATGGACAAGCGAGAGACCGGTTGACTTTCCGAGGTTGAACTACTAGGGGAGTAGGAAACGAAATGTCTTCTTTCTGCCTTGATCTCAAGAGACCACAAATGCTTGAAGTGCGAGACGGTAGCGAGGAACGTGCGCAACTCGTCAACCGAGGGAAGGGATTCAATCCTCCATCCGGATTCGCGCTGCAAGAAATAGCATGGAACGTCAAGCTCTGGAGATCTAGGTAGAGGCGAATAAGATGCGGCGCCAGATGGTCGCTCTCTGAGGATGAACGCCCTTCAATTTGAGAAGGCATAGCAATCGCCACTGCTGATGATAGAACTTCCCGCCAAAGTTGATACCAGTACAATGGACGCGTTTCCACTGGCGAGCGTAAGAGATGGGTCAGCTCCACAATGTGTTTGTAGCTTTTACAGCGAAGTTCCATCTTCAACCGCTTCCGACTCGGGGACACCCATGCGACACAGACAAGGATGCAGGAGAGTAACAGAGACTGATCCTCCTCACAGAAGCCGATGATGATGTCACAGAGTTCTCTTGGACGAATGGGATGCTGGGCGATAGGAGCACTAGGGCGGGTCCATTTGATAGCGAAGCGCAAAGGTTGGATGCGAGGATGACAAATGACCGTATCCTCCAGACAGCGAATCAAAAATGTCTCCAACCGTTCTTGCGCCTCACGGGTGTAGCATATCAATGCAACGATAAGGATAGGGGGGCCGATGATGAAGGCCATGAGAGCGGCGGTCTCCGCACAGTCTTGGTGCGCAGAGCGCCCTGTGATATCTTTTCCGTCGCATTTACAGCCCGTGAAGCCGGAATGCGAAGTCTGATTGCGCCAGGTAGCGCAAGAGTCCGTCATTGCATAATGCAGAAAGGACGAAGAGTCATGGGAGGAAGGAAGAAGTAAGACAGCTGTCTGTGATGACTTGACGGCATGAACATCCCCATGGCCTACCGCCGCCCGACAGAAAACGCAGGACTGGAACGACGGGCACAAAGATTTCTACAGCACGCAGAATGCCATCATGATCAACGAGGCCTTGTGGTGCGAAAAGGTCAAAGAGCAGCAACGAAATGCTAACGGACTGTGTTGTCGAGGAAGTCTGGGATCTCGCGAGCCGGTAGTGGAAGAGGAAACCAATGGACGGACACTTTCGCGTTAACATCGATGACATAAACGTCGTGTGGTGCATGAAAGAGAGTTGACACGACACGAGGAGAATAAATGATGAGGCGCATATCGAGATCATGTCGGCACCGGAAGTTGAGAATTGAGGTCCCAGAAAAAAAACCAAGCTCCACTCGGAGTCACGAGATTGATTACAGATTGAGATACTCATTTAACGCGCGCCGTGAGCAGGTACCTGCTTGACGCAGGAGAGTGCAAAGCAGGTCCGCAGAAAAACACAGTCAGTCGCAAAGGGCGATGATGTCGTCACAAAGTTCGTGCGGGACGAGAAGAATGTCGCGGTGGTGTAAGGATGGGTCAGCCAGGTGTAGAGAACGAGATCGCCTGAAGACTTGAATAACACGCCAAGTGGGCAAGCATCCGCAAGACTTCATCTACCCCATCCACTGGCAGAACGAGTCCAAAAAGAGGGCAAACACGCAGGTTGCCATGAATTATCTCCTTGTAGTGCGAAAGAGTCAGTGATACCGCATCGAAAGGAAAAGGGAGGATGCGAAGCCTTGTTTTCCCATTGAAGGCAGAATTCTGCCATGAAAGGAACAGAAATATGGTTTGACCAGTGGCGTGTGGTTGGTAGGTGAGCTTTACTGAGTTGTATTCTGAATCTTAGCAAGCGAAGTGAATGACTCGGATGGGTCAGTATCAAATAAGAAGGACTGTGAGGCAGGATATAAGTGGCAACTTTGACGTTGGGGAAATCAAAGACCTCCCAGTAAAAAGCAGAAATTCCCTATCGGCATACAAAAACAAAGGTTCGCTGGTGACGGTAGGATCAACGTTACATTAATCACGTGTCGTGACTGACAAGCTTCGGCCGCGCACGATCAGTGTCACTTGCTTGTTATCTCTCACCTTGGCATAGCTATAAATGCCTAGCACATCGTGTCAGACGACCACCACGAAATGAGTCTCTTTCCCAAGGTACGCTACACCACGCAGCTCTCTCGCCCGCATTCACCAATGCATAGTACGAACTCCAACCGATAAAGTCGACGACAAGGCGGATGGCACTTTTTCGACGGCGCGCTCAAGACATACTTTATCGGCTCCGACGGAAAAGGCAACTTCACCTCGCGCCAAATCTTCAAAGCCAACAACCCGCACACTGGCGCCGGACGCAAAAGCACTGCTACGCGTACGTCCACCCCACCCCATTATACACACCTTTATGTACCACCCAACCCTCTAGCGCCATACCACTGGCACATCTACCAAACCGAGACATTCGACGTGAAATCAGGTGTGCTCTGCTACGACCTCGACGGCACACTCGGTAAGCTCGGCGCGGGGGAGACAGTGACCATCCCCCCAGGTCGCTACCACACCTTCTGGTCCGACCCCTCCTCCGGCGTGGACCTCGACGTGCATATCACCGTCCGCGGCGGGCCCAATGCCGGGTTTGACGAGGTCTTTGTGCATAATTTTTATGGATACTTGAGCTCGTGCACGATGCAGGGCTTGGCGCCGAATCTATTCCAAATGCTCGCGTTTATGGACCATGCGGATGTCGTGTTGGTTGATTTCCCGCTGTGGACGGGGAGATTGGCGAATCTGGTTATTGGGAGGTGGATTGGGAGGGGTGTTGGGGGTATGATGTTGAGTATGGGTGTTTGATGCGAAGAAGGATTGATTTTCGTCTTCTTTGTGTTGTTAACTTGTCGTTTGGAAGCTGACGTGGGTTGATAGGTGTGAACATCTTGTTTGCTTTAGTGAAAAATTATTTGACGTGGCTTAGATTCGGATATAGGGAATCGAACCCCAAGTTGCGGCGCATAACTGCGCTACACCAGGAGAGGTGGCGACGTTAGCTTTACACCATATCCGACTTGTTCTGATTTGCAGCCTGAAGGAAACCAATCCTTGGGCACAGCACCCCAGGAGCGTTAGTTCTTTTCTAACATGTACCACAAAGACGCGCGATGGTCAGCACTCACGTTTTTCCGCGGCCGCTTCTTCATATACTCGTCGTCCCAGTCTGCCACTCGGTCATAGTGTAACGGTAGCCGGGATTCAAATTCCCGTATATCCGAATAACTCTTCGTTACTGTTTTTGGTGGGAGGCCGTACAGACTTTCGGGCGACATAGTGCATGGCGTAGATATATGAGGTCAAAAAGCTGCGAATTTCAAAGCTGTATTCGGATTCGAGGAATTGAACCCCGAGCATGGATAGAGAACATGTTGACCTCTTGACCATATCCGAGTCCGTCTCTTCCTAACACATCCACTAACATGCTAGGTGCAACAATATTGAGGAATGCGGTAGGCACTCACGACCGCGACTCTTTAAGGTTTAAGCCCAAGGACGGTACTTTCTACACTGTCGGATAGTGTAACGGTAGTATCCGGGATTCGTCCCCGTATCCGAATGATGGTGCGGGATGTTCTTTTTGGTCGAGGCCACTCAAGATTTGTACGTGGCGCAGATATCCTTGCCACAAACCCGATTTTGCGTGAAGCAAGGAAGATGAATCCCGAGCTACAGAACTGCCAACTCGTGAAAAGGCGGCCTTTATCCGAGTCAGTCCTTCCTAACACTTTGTTGATCAGTAAGGACTGATGTTCTTCCGCGACTGCGACTCTAACTATTGGTTACAAGCTCATACTAGTTCATACTTCTGCCATCGAGTCAGATCAGATATAGTGTAACGTGCTACTCGGGATTCGCGTCCTCGTAGCGCATTGATCGCCAGCGGATTTTTTTGCACTATACACGCTGGGTCCCAGATCTCCTCGCGTCCTTTGAGTTGTAGGTGAACAAGCTACGCAGAAACAGAGGATATGCGTACGAGGGTGACAATGACTTGACAGCGGACTGATCAAGAATAGACCGAGACGAAGTAGTTATCGGATATGGTGTAACGGCTAACATTGCCGCCTCTCATGGGTATGATGTTATCTATGTCTCAGCGCGGCAGCTCGGGGTTCGATTCCCCGTATCCGAATATCGTTGTATGGCTATCGCCGTTTTTTTAGCATTTGCACCTAAACTTGTCGAAGTACTGGTCCACTACGCGGCGCGCCTATGCTGTTTAAGAGAAGATACGCCTCTCGTTGAACTAGTTGAATGACAAGGCCCACACGTCTGATATGTGTCCTTGCACCTTGTCATGAGAAAGGTGTTTGAATAAACTGACTATCCGCTTGTATGAGGTAAGATATGGCGTACAGGCTACTACGATTGCCTGCTTCGGGTTCGTTTACCCGTATCTTGCATAGATGTATGTTTTCAACATTTTTTTTACAGTATGATTTCCTTCCACAGGGTACTACTCACTCAGGTTTTGATTTCGAGTGCCGCCAGGGTTCAGTGTGTAGGGCTTGAGTAAAGAGGTACGGGTGTCGACGAACTTGTTTAAGTACAAGCACAGTGACAGAATCTTCATCAGATATGGTATAAAGGCTACCATCGCTGCCTCTAATTGGGCGGTAGCTCGGGGTTCAATTCATTGGATGATTGTGAGGCATGCGGCAAGTGATCTTTTCGTCGCGACAAGCAGCAGTGGGTAGATCAGATTCCATCTTACGCGCCTCAGGACCAGGCGTGGGTAGTGTAGAGGTTTGAGTCCGTCGCCGGATTCTGTCCTCGTAATGAGTATCATTAAGAGTTTTGCCACAGCGTACACGGATGTGAGGTTGAAGTCGTTCTTCATATAAGTGGGAAGGCACTTGTAGCTCATCGGCTATCTCGTGCTCATTCCAAAGCTTGGCGTTTTACAAGAAGAGAACCTATTTTTAGACTCCGGTCCTCCGGTCCGGCGTTTGTTTTGTTGTTTGGGCGCCGCCATTGTTCTCTTGCAACAATTACCCGCACGCTCTGGCCACAATGGGAACAATAGCAGCGAGTATAAAGACGCAGGGTTCCGCGTCCTTGTGTTCCTGTCAATCCTCTTTTCTTCTCTCAAACCTGGTGAGTCCTCCAAGTAAACCGAGGCGAGGAATGCTCACGATAGACAAGGCCCGGCGCCCACGACTACAATCTACACGATCTTTGAACGATGATGAAGACTGCCACTGCCACTTTCCTTGCACTCCTCGTTGCTGCCACTGTGCACGCTGCCCCGATGAAGCGCACGCCGCGCCATCCGCATCGCCTAATCCAGAGGGCTAGCGCGACTGCTAGTGCTTCTGCCACTGCCACGGACCTCGCCTCCTCCAATCTGGCCCTTGCAGAGGCGCTCAATGAACAATTTGCTTCTATAAGCGCTGACGACGCGTGTGATGGTGCGTTTCCTCCTTCTCTTCTTCCTGGTATCCGCTGACAGTGAAATATTTAGAAGCCACTCTCGCACAGGCGTGTATCAATGGGTCTTATGCGCAGTGCGTGTCTTCGGCGTGGGTGTGACAGAGTGCGCGTCTGGGACGTCGTGTGTTGCTGTTCCGCTGGTGAACAGCGCGGGGACGAGTGTGGTGTGTGATACGACGGACGATGCCGCGGTGAGGCTTGGTGGGAGCGCGACTGCGACATCTAGCGCTGCGCAGGCGTCTGGGACGACGGCTGCTGATGACGATGATGATTGTGAAGACGATTCCGCGGACGACGACGACGATGATTGTGAGGACGATGATACTACCATTTCCAGTATTTCTGCGACACCCTCCGCCTCCGCCTCTTCTACGCCTTCCTCTGTCGATGCCAACAATAACGCTGCGGATACTGGAGCCATCACCACCCTCATCGCGCGTCCCACCTCCTCCTCTTCTGCCTCCACATTCCTTCGCGCCGCTCGTCCCTCCGTTGTTGCTAAACGCCAAATTGTCAAAGGCTCTATAAGCCTTGTGCCTATTTCTACTGCCCCGGCGTCGACTGCGACCGGAACGGCCGTGGTGGCTTCGGGCGCGAGTGTGGTCACGGTGACAGCGACTGTTACGGAGACGACGACAATGCTGGTGGTTCCCGTTTCGACGGCGACTGCATCTGCGTCAAGCGTCGCTGTTTCTTCGAGTGCCAGCGCCACCCTCGGTGTATCGGCGACTTCCAGTGCCGCCTCTTCAATCGCTACCTCAGTCATACCACCCTCTTCGGCCGCAGTCGCTACCCCTTCCTCCGCCACGAACCCCTTTCCCTCTTTGAGCCCCGCGTCTGCGATTGCGTCTGGTGCCTCAACAACCTCTGTATCACCTACTATCACTCCCGTGTCCTCATCCGCCGCATCTGCAGCCGCCGCAGCGACGTCCTCCTCCGAAGCGGATGAGGAAGCTGCAGCTGAGAGCTCTGCCAAGGCGAGTCTGAGTAGCAAGCTAGCTGCATCGTCGAGTTCGGCGAGCGCGAGCGTGAGCACTGTTACGCCGGTGTCTTCTGCGACTTCTACATCAGTGCTGAGCACGACAAGTAGTGTCGAGGAGACGGCTACGACGAGCAGCAAGGGAGGGTTTACGTTTGCTACGAGCGTGTAAGATACGCTTTACTTACATACTGGATATGTTATACTCGATGAGGACTTTATTGTATTTTTAGCATACGCTGTATTTACTCTCCTTTACTTTACGTGGATCAAAATAGATGATGTCGAGCTTCGAACGGATGTGGTGTGATTTCTTACTTGCGGCGGACGCTTTCGAGGTTGTGTATAACTGGTGTTCAAGTAAAATGTGGCAAGTTCAAGCAACGGATTCGGATACGGGGAATTGAACCCCGAGCTGCCGCGCACACTTTAGGGAAGGGAAACCAATGAGGGCGGCAATGTTCGCTGTTACACCATATCCGATGGTTGGGTCGGAGGGTGTGGCGAGCATCATGGGATCTTCTGTTCTTGTTCAGCACAAAAGAGGTGATTGTGAGCGCCTGAAAGAGCTGAACGCTGTAGGATGTAGATGAAACTTCCTGCCCCAGCAAGAAGATGGAGGTGCATGCACGTCGTTGGTTGGGCCTAACAGCTTGTTGACGCGAACAAAATCAACGGTGAGAGATGCATTCGGATACGGGGATTCGAACCTCGAACCACCAGGGGAAAGACAACACGATGAAAGGCGGGCAATGTTGGCCGTTATTCCATATCCGATGAGTGGGTGGCGAAGATCGTGGGATCTTCTGTTCTTGTTCAGCACAAAAGAGGCGCCTGAAAAAGGAGAACGCTGTAGGTCGAAGGGGGATACACCTTCTAGCCCGGCAAGAAGATCAAGGTGCACTTGGGGGCCTAACTCGAAGGAATGCCAACAAAAAGAACGCAAATGCCTATTCGGATACGGGGAATCGAACCCCGAGCTGCCGCGTACATTACGAACATGAGGGGCGGCAATGTTAGCCGTTACACCATATCCGATGGTCCAGCAAAGATTGATAGTTTAAACGACGCATCACCTTGAAATGTGAGTTGATGCAGAACAATCGCTCATTTCGGTTGCGAGGAATTGAACCCACCGAGCTCACACTAAGTACGAGAGGCGGCGTACACGTTACACCATATCCGATAGATTGCGTAAGGATTATAAGAGCCTATAAATGGCAGAACTCACCATACTTACTGATCTCTGCATCCCGTTCAGCTTTGACAATGAGATGCTACCACACTCGCTGGAAACTGATTGCTAAAAAAGAAAATACACAAAAACTTTGCAGTACATATTAATCGAAGATGAGTGATTAAACCCCAAGGTGGCGGCGATGTGTCCGTTTCACCATACTGTAGAAGGAAGCCATCTCGATCCGGGGTCTGTAGGTCGCAAAAAATACACTATGGAATCTATATACGACTTCCCCCAAAGAAAAGATCCAGGTCATGCTTCTATTCGGATACAAGGAATTGAATCCCAGACAAGAGGGGCGATGTTTCCGTTACACCATATCCGATAGACTGCCTGCTGTTCGAGTCCGGAGAACTTGGAAAGCAAGAGGTGACGTCCCTGTGGCAGAAGGGACTCTGTCGAATGAATTGGTGGGTGGGCACGACTGAGTTGTTCATCCGAGCCTACGTACCTCTTTCTCACTCTGCAAGACCAAATTCATTGTGTGGAAGACTGCTTGAAGCATTCATTTCAATGTTATCCGATCTTGGCCCGTTATACCACAACGTGGGAGACTTGATAGTTCGACTGTGGCGTCAAACAGCCCACGCGGTAGAGCAGCACTCCATGTGAGACATCCGATATGGTGTAACGGCTAACATTGCCGTCTTTCATTGATGCGACTGTTATTGTTATCAACGCGGCAGCTCGGGGTTCGATTCCCCGTATCGGAATGGTTGGGTTTGCTCTTTTTTTTTTAAAAAAAAAAAAGGTCACAAAGTGTGGCGCAGTCAATGATCACCTCAACGTGTGCCACAAAGTCAGCTTGTGTTCAAATAGTCACGCCAGGCCCCAGGGAGGGAGGGCCTCTGAAGGTAATATAAAGTCGTTCACGTCTGATGTCTTGATTATGATAGAGTATTCAGTGTTCGGAGGATGAACGTTGACGATAATGATAACAACAGTCCGTTACACAAGTATGGCACTCCACTTCTTCTCCTCTAATTACATTCGCTGCGGATTAGGTTCACCCCTTGCCGCCTTCAGAAATCCTAGCGGTTTACTAACAGCATCGACCAACGTATGATTATGATCATTCGCCGCATGCCACATCGCAAAGCCCGCCAACTTCTGGTCCTTGATATACTCCCCCTTCGCCTCCATCGCCACATGATCGTCGTACGACACCAGCACGTCGTTGTCATAGTCGTACATGTAAGGCTGTCATCATCTCAGTCAGTATTGAAGTTATCCACATTTGGGCGGCGCATACCGTCTGAGAACACTCATCAAAACTATACGAGAGGTTCTTCCCAAAAGGCACTTTCCCATCATCCCCTAGATATCCCGCTGTGACCATCGCCTTGAACGAAATGAGTCCGTTCTGTACTGCTTCAGTAGTAGTAGGTCGTGGCACTTTGTTCCCGCACTGGTCCGCAGGGGGGTTATACCGGAACTCCAGTGATGCATTTGGCTGGGGTGCAGAGAAGGAGCCAAAGTGCGGCAAGCTTTGAAGAGTCGCTGTGAGGCTGAAGTTTGCATACGTCGAGTTGGCGGGCTTGAAGGGTTTGTCGAGTAATGGATAACGTAGGCCGCTGTAGGTGCGCCCGAAAGCGGCTACACCGACGACGAGCTGATCACGAAGTATCAGTACGGAAAGCGCTAGGATGTGAGAGTTGCTCGCCTTTTCGGGTGCCATCCCGGCGTTCTGCCACCCCTCCGCTGCGGCGTTCATTGAATGTGGCTCCGAAGGGCTAATTCCAGCGCTCATCGCAGCATCTTCGAGAGAAGCACAACTCGTCAAAGTGGGATCCTTAATCAGAGGCGCGTTGGGCCCAACCTGATTGCTCAAGGACCGAGGACCGAATATGCCATACGCCATGATCGCTACATGTATACACAGGTCAGGATGAAATGAGAACTTGAACCCACACACATACCAGTGTGGTTAAGAACGTCAGCGAATGGGACTAGATCCACTCCCGTTCCTGAATCGTTGTCCAGTTTGAATGGCGTTAACCCCACCGCGGCTGATAGATACAGCCCTTGTCTTTTCTGTCGCAGCAGTGTCAACACCGACAAGAAATTCTCGGCGTCAGAACTTGTATTGTTTAGGCTACAGGTCGGCCAGTCCTCGTCATCCTCGTTGGGATCCTCCCAGGCGAAATCGACGCCACATAGATGATATCTGTCAACGACTTGAAGGATGCTGTCCGCGAAGGCTCCTTGGGTAGCGTTATCGGCGAGAGAGGATGAAAAGAACCCGTCATAGACGCCGAATGAAAGAATCGCCGTTTTGCCCTGCAAAAAAATGAGATTGATGACACACTCTGAACTGCGATAATACGACTACTCACGCGGCCTTTGACTGTATCCGAAAAATCCTGGAGGAACGCGTCTCCGACGTCCGAGCCGTTCTCCGCATGTCCGTTGATTCTGATGTTGGTGGGGTCATTTGGGTCCGCAAGGCTGCCAACCTCCGAGTCAGTGGAAGTCTCGTGGGCCTATAAAACAAGACTCACGCAAAAGCATACGCGGCAATCGTATACTTTTCCCATGACACGTTTTGGAAGGACACCGAATCGACGACATACGCCAGGCGAATGTATTGTCCGTCTGTCGCTTCACGGGTGATCATGGGTATATATGCTGCCAGAGCAAAGGGAAGGAATGCGACGAGAAGCAGGTTCATGGTGAATTTGTTGGGGAGAAAAAGGAGTAGGGAGAGGGCGAGGTGTTTATGTAGTATACATGGAGATGCATTCCATACTATCGCTTCCCATTCCGATGTTTGACTCGAATTCTTGATCATATGAAGGAGAATAGTATGGTATGCAAACAGTCATGTGACGCAAAGTAAGTCCTTCGCCTGTCGTAGAAATGGAAAGCACAAGAACATATCGCGGACGGAGGCGTCGCCAAAGTACGAATTCAGGTCCAGTGGAATGCGATGCAGTACGTACTGCGAAATCTAATATGATATCCACGAAAAAAACAGTACTGCGAAGAATGATGAGGTGCTTACAGGATAAACACTTAAACGTACATTCCATATACAATCGTCCACAGTCTGTTGAATAGGTCATGTTCATGGTGGGGAGTGGAAACGAAAGGGCAGTGCCCGTGGGAAACGATATATGATCCTTCAGTGCTAGCACTACATTGGCCGTTACCCTACAACGCCTCACTAACAGCCCCAACCAACAACCCATGATAATCACTTGCCGCATGCCACATTGCGAAACCCGCCAACTTCTTATCAATAATATACTTCCCCTTCTCCCCAAACGACCTCTGATCATCATACGAAATGAGTATACCGTTCTTCTCGTCTTGCAAGAATGACTGAAAAGGTAATGAGCTCACTCGGTGTAAGCCCAGGACCCGCGAGGATGCTCACCGTCTTCGTACAATCATCAAACACATACGTGACATTATCCGCAGCAGAACCATCGGCCTTGAGATACCCCACATCAACAAGGCCCTCAAACGTGAACACCCCACTATGACTTTGGGGTGCGCCACATGCATCTGGCGGCCCTTCGCCATCCTTAATATCCGGATACCCCTGTGGGATGGAATGGAACTGTGGGTACGTTGCTATGATACCCTGTGATTTATCGTCCACTCCCTCGAGACTGTTGTAGGAGCGCCCATACGCTGGAATGCCCAGGACAATCTGGCACTGCGTGTGTTGGTTGGTCAAGAAGATTGGGGGGAGATACCTACCTTGTCGAGTGGCATCCCAGCTTTCGTCCACGCGTCAACCGAAGAGTCCGCCGTCAAGATGAACGCAGAAGAAGGAAGTGCGCTCTTCATACATTCATCTCCCGTCAAAGGTGCGTTGGGCCCGGTCTGATTGTTCGACCAGGAGCCGAAAACGTCGTATGCCATGATTGCTATCTCACACATCAGATTCGTCGGTAGAGAGTTGGAAGAACATACATACCAACATGATCCAAAACCTCTGCAAAGTCACTCACATCCGTCCGTGGGCTGCCCGTCTCGTCAAGGAACGGCAGCATACCCACGGCAGCCGACAGCCCCACGCTCTTCGTCTTTTTATCACCATCGAGCGCCCTCCTCAGGTCTATAAGCAGCGCGAGAAAATTGTCCGTATCGCTGGCGTCAACTTTGTTACACGGAAGTCCATTGCCACCGGGAAACTCCCAGTCAAAGTCCAGCCCGTCTAAACTGTAGTTGGCGACTAGCTGAACGAGCGCGTTGACAAATGTCGCGCGCTTTTGAGCGGTGGATAAGGGAGAGAAATATATGGAACCCTGCGATCCTCCCAAAGACACAAATGCTTTCACATTCTACAAAAAAACTTAAAATCGGAGGGAAAATGTTACATGTTGGCGGCCGCGTACCTTTTCTTTGGCAGTCTTGACGAATAAGCGAAGGTTGTCGGGATTAGTGATGTTAATGTATGGAGGATCGGGCATGGTGACGCTACAGTATCGGTAATGATTAACGAGGGGCAAGGTCAATAGGAAGAGACACATACCCAAACGAATAGGTTAGCATCGTGTAGCTGCCCCATGTCAAATTGTCGAAAGGGACCCAATCGGCTACCCAGGCCGCCTTGATAGGCGACTTGGCCGAAGCAGACGCAGACGACGTGGCGGTAGTCTTGGACGAAGTACATGTAGTAGCCCCGGTCTGACGCCTCCGAAATGTCTTATGTCTAGCCATACGCTTGTAAGAAAACGGATCGATGTTGTCGTAATCTGCTGCCAGAGCAGATGAGACGAAAAGGATAAGACTAAAGAAAATGATAAGACGGTTCATGTTAGGGTTGTTGAGAAAGAGATCGTCAATGTATAATTTATGTATGACTGAGAAGATGCAGTGCATAATGGTATTCAGAGTATGATAAGCAGAACAATACTACAAAATGATGAGCGTCGGAAGAATGGAAACGGGCCGAAACGTACATTCATGATCAACGTCCAAGTCACGGTCCAATTCTCGCAGCAGGAAAGCAGTGCTGCAAAGAATGACAAACAGCTCTTAGGATGGAAAACACAGGAACATACATTCCATGTTCACTGATTGCCTGCTCCTTCGCGTCTGACCATGGCAAATGGCCCAAAAACGATTCGACGAAAACCGCCAACATTCCTACTGGACGCTGAGCCGCAGAGCGATCTATAGTAGATTTCAATTTTGAGTGTAAGCAAGGAAAAGGGATTGCTCACCCAATTAACGAAAACACGTGAGATCAACTGGCTGCGAATGAACCTGCCGACGTTGAGATACCGGACTGGGACGCCACGCTTCTCAAACATGAAGCACTAAGCCTCCATGGTGCGCCGCACACATCCTTCGATGTCCTTAAAACCCGGATGGGCTGAATGGCACTTTGGATACTTCGCCCTGCGCTTGTGGAATTATCGTGCACGTCTCAAGGACTGTTGAGGCTGTCGAATGAGCGCCCGTACGCTGACATACCAAGGACGATTTGTACTGCGTTCGTCCTCAGTCCGCTGTTAACGTGTACGGTCAAAGCGGAAATGCGCTCGCTGTACATATCACTGCATTCATTACAACAGGTGCAGGTTTCGTATTCACGGCATAAGTATTCGGAATGTCATTGGCCAATCCTACGAAATGATAAGCCTTGGTAGAATGGAAATGGACAGAAACTTACATTCATCAATATCGACAATGGACCCCAAGGAGAGGAGAGGAAAGCCCTGGAAGATGCATTAGGCCACTTTACGTTGTTCAAGGCGGCTCTTACTCTTCTTGGAACGAATTCGACGAAGGAGGAAACCTTGCTCCAATTATCGAACGTGCTGCTGGCCATAGCATTGGGCGTGGTAACGTTGCCGCTCTGATGGATGTAGTCGTCGCAATGGTATTCCCAATCGTGATGCAATGAGGGTTCTTTAAAGTCTTGCATCTGGCGGTTATGAGACGCTTGAGAAATATGATGTTCATCTCGAAAGCGCTGTCGTCATCGTAGTCCCCTGCCAGAGCAGGGAAGAGTAAGGCTGAACTTTTGAAGATATGTTGACCGACCTCTTGGCGGGATAGTGGCGAGAGAAAGCGTATGCCCAGATACTGTCGTGCCGAGGGTATATGACATAGGTTTGTACCGAGAACCATATACTCTTGTCTAGTGATAGGCAGTTCAAAATCGAAGCATCGTATATAAGCGTAACGGACACGCGGAGAGATTTAAAGTGACGTCCATGGGGCAACTGTATTGGAACGACGTGTACATGGTATGGTATAAGGAAATCAATACTACAAAATGATCAGCCTCGTAAGAATGGACACGAACAGCAACGTACATTTATCATCAACGTCTCCCTCTACTAAGTCCGATTCTCGCAGCCAGCTGCCGAGCATGAATGAGTTGAAGCCTGCGGGAACGCGCGAAGACTATGAAGAGCGAGACGACAGCAAAGAATATATTGCACGCGACGAATTCGTAAAAGTCTGCGCGTTCTTGGCCGACGATGCGGCCGCATGAGCCCCAGGCAAGGTGCTCGCCGGTAGTGGAATCGGTCGCTGTCGGCGGGGCTGCTGGGACGGTCGCGTTTGTACAGTGCATTAAGCGCCGGTTACCGAACGGTTGGCAGAATGGTTGACCGAGCTGCGTATATGTTAACATGGGCGAGATTGTGAGGTGAATAAACGCACTGCAGCAGGCGGACATGGTTCACAGAGACCAAATGGCTGGCATATGAGAGAGTCGTTGGCTGCGTGCACGAGTTGAAAAAGTCTATTGGGTCGTGAGCATCGTCCTCGACAGCGGCAGGGCGACATACAGGCATAATATCGTTATTGCTGCCAGTCGCCAACGCATCGAGGGAAAGGGCAGCGAGCACGTGGCAACTTGACTGCTTGACTCCGTCCTCCACCACCATCATGTCCCGTCGCGCCGCTGTTGTTGTTGAAGAATTCGACGACGACACAGATCTCCCACTCCCCAGCCAGCCGCTCCCCAACTTTGGCAACAGCGGGCCCTTGCTACAGGAAATCGCCGACTCTGATAATGACGACTTTGAGCCGCCCTCGCAGCGCGCGGGCCCAGCGTCGCCATCGCGCCCCTCGTCGTCGGACGTGCCCCCAGAATTGAAGGGCTCGGTGACGGACATCACGCCGTACAAGAAGTCTGTTGTGCGCTATCTAGGCAGGGCGTCTGTGGCTGATTGATGCCTTTGCAGATGGACGTGCATCTACCCCATATACATCGATGCCAAGCGCCCCTACGGCACCGGCGAGCGCCGGGTCGCCCGTCCCAAGAGCGTCTGGTGGCCACTCAGCAAGGACATTGCAGATGCCACCAACCGCCTCGGCCTCGGCACCCTACATGAAGTAAACAAATCCCACCCACGAGATTGGGAGAATCCAGGCCGCGTACGGGTGCAGTGGAAGAAGGACGGCCGCCTCATCAACCCCGCCATCCAGACCAGTATGTCTACCTTATGCTCTTCCTTATCACTGCTAAATACACCTTCCGCAGAAAAACAACTATTGGAGATGATCTGTCTCCAGATACAACGTCTAAAGCCAGAGAACGTGCCTAAAGCGCCGTACAATACCACGCCCTTGAATACCACCGAACAGCAGCAGCCGCCATCGAAATCGTCAGCGACCAAGGGCAAACAGCCAGCGACGACAAAGTCCAAATCCCCCCAGCCCACGACCAAGCGCGGGGGGCGCCGCCCTCCGATACCACCAGAGCCCCATCCCCCACTCGCTAGTCGCGTCTCCCAATACTCGCCTGCGATATCCACGGGCGTTTTGATAGAGACCGTAAAGGCCGGAATGAACGCACAGGAAGCAGCGCCACCACCCGGCGCGGCTCCTGGCACACCGGGCACGCCTACAGGTGCGCAGAAGGGAAAACGAAAGGTTGTACGTGTCAGAGGATAGTCGATGTTTGAGCATCTTGTAATGAAATTTGTTTACTCAACTCCTAATCGCGTGAACAGTCATTGTTGGATCAACCGCCTGTTCTCAGTATCTTGCGGCTTTTACTCTCGAGTTCGTACTATATCTGTCAAATGGACTTTGTTGAACAGGATCGTTGACACATTACTTGACTCATCGTCTCGTTCTCTATTCGAGCGAGCCTGGAGATACTAACAAGCCATTCTCCTTTAGATCAAGTACTAGCCGGAAGCCTCGTTGTCGCCTCTGTAGATGTACCGACGAACGTCATGAAATGCGACAAGCCACTGTTTAATCGGCCATTGTAGCTTCCTCGATCTTCATCGCAGCTCAAGCTCATGCAGGATCGTATTTCGTACGTCCTTCTCAAGACTCAAACGCCACAAAAAAAGTGTTTGCGAACCGGAGGCAGACTTCCGATACGGGGAATCGAACCCCGAGCTGCCGCGCACAAGCAGAGTTGCTCCCTGTTTATGAAAGGCGGCAATGTTAGCCGTTACACCATATCGGATGTCTCGGATTGTAGGCGGCCTTTTGGATGGTTATTAACAGGCGGGAGCGGGTCGGATACATTGCGATCATGCTAAGGGCAAGTCCAGCTTAAACTCCGGAACAGTGAAAACCCATTGTTTGAATCCTCGTTCGCCGTTGATCTGGGAATACATATCCGCCGCCTCTCTTCCACAACGCAGTGAATATGCCACGTGCCTAGGATCAAATGGCGTGAGCTCTAGTCTCTTTCTGAGGGTGATGTCGTGACTTGTCTTTTCCTTTTTTTTCCTTCCTGCTGAAATACCCTGTGACTGGGAGAGCCACTTTACGATATATAGAAACGCTACACCAAGAACTTAGTTCCGATTGATCTGAATTTGTGTGATGTCCTTGTATTGTTGGCGGTCCAACGCCACAATTGATCTCTGCCACCCCAAGAGCCTAGCGAAATGATCCTATTGAGTTGTGTCAAAATTGGTGTAATGGGCGGCGGGATGACAGACGAGGAAGGTGTACTAAGATGTTCAGGCTTGGATGAAGTTCCCGCGTGCAGGAGAAAAAGTTCCCCCGAATCAACCCCCCGAATCAGTAATGATACTGGTCAAAGAGAGTACAGACCGTTCGACGGGAACATGGATGTCACGCCATTTGGGGACATGCTCTTTGCAGCAGTCTCGATACTTCACGTACCGCATGCCTCTCCCCGGAAGCATACTGGCCAATCAAAGGAGAACGTCGCGGACAAAGCGTTGAAGAACGTGTACAATTTATTCTCCATTGAGCATATCCTCCAGGATAGGTTTAACCCACCTGGTTTGATGCAGCCATCCCAGCTATTCTCGCTTTTCGCCCCAGGTATAAATGTAGATGCATCGTCAGCTAGGATTGCCGCGTCGAAGATGCCCCTCCTCACACTGAAAGGATTCATCGATTTCACCGCCGTTGAAGTTCTCTCAGACCCCTCGAAACAATGGGGGAATCTCCAGAGGGCGTTGAAGAAGTACCGCCTGTCCCAGTTCGAAGGTTGGTTAGATCTTCCGCGGCATGTTCTCCCCGAATATCCCGACGCGAGGATGTTGCAGAGGGTGCGAAAAGTTTCGGAATTTGCAAAGGCTAGAGACGAGCAGTTTCTTGCAGCGACGATGGCGGAAATGCAGCTGCGAAAGCAGGGAAGGCAGAATGCGCTTGATTTACTGGATGATCGTCGATACTACTATTAAGTGATAAAGTGCATGTATGTAGGGATTCAACAGCTGATATGACAAACATCGAGACTATGTCGCTATACTGCTGAGTATGAGTATGAGTATGAGTTGGGGCTGACCTCCACCGTTGCATAATGGCGACGGTATTGGCTCCGCGCTAGCATGTCCCGGCTACATGCTGATGTACTGTGAAACTCCGTAGGTAGATATCAATAGCTAGTACGCATTATGATCATAAATGAAAAGGCTTCATCTCGGCGTGCATATCGTTAGTAGCTTTGAAGGCCTCAGTCGTTTATTCCGAAGAGTTTAATCAGCGCAATGCGCCATCGTTGTTGGGGTCAACCTTAACCGCAATCAGTACACGATAGGAAATCGCCATCCCTGCAAGATCGAAACGAAACAAGAGCAGCATGGTTATACAATGTAGTGATAGAGCCGAACTTGAATAATATGATAAAATGTATATAGACAGTACTGAGAAGAAAGATAGAAGTCAGAATGTATTCGGCTGAGGCTCTAAGCGGCCGCGGACCTTCCCGCAGACCACCCACCCATGTTCTGGCTGACTTTGCCCCGTAAGGGATCTAAGGCGTACCAATACTTCCTCCATACAATATTCGACGTAGTCGCCACTGCAGTACACCGAGATGTCCTTCAGCTCATCGACGAACTGGATGCCCTCGGCTTCACCCAAAGCCTCCGCCGCCAATGCCCGAACCTCAGACAACGTGAAACCGAATGCACCACGAGCTTGCTCCTCGTCTGATACATCACATCCAATGTCGCCGAAGAGAGACTCGGAGAGTTCCATGGATCTAACCCATGATGGCTCCTCTTCAATGGGCCTTCCCATGATCGCCCCACCCACGACATATCCATTTTCCAAAGCGGTCCGGAAAGGCTCAGTTATACAGTCCAGGATGACATGTTTGACGGCGATGCAATTCTGGGGTGTTGATTTCAACAGCGGAAAGTTGAAGTTGTCGATGAGGAGAATCAGCCTGTGGCCCGAAAAGGTGAGAAGTGTCTAGCGAGACCGTCAGAAGAGCGTATCATTCGAGGATACAGGAACTCACCAAAATCTCGTCGAAGGTATATTGAGACGTTAGGTCAACGTAGCCTAGGATTTCGTCTTCGTCAGACAAATCCAGTTGCTCTGCGTAGCGTCGAAGGAAACTGTGATATATCAAATTCATGTACGCGTTCGCCGAGCTGCACATGTTCTCGCTGGTATCGTAGAAGACTGCCTGTAGGTCCACGTGCATCACAAGACGGTCTCCCTGGAAATCTGGAAAGTTTAATGCACGAGGACCAAATGCATGGGCGACAGCACGCTCTTTGAGGACGTCGTGGATAAATCTGGATGCGGAAAGGAAAGTCGTCTTGCCGAAGCCGCGAGGCCGTCTGACTAGGGCCAATTGATCGTGTCTGCGACAAATAACGGGGCATAAAGCATCGACTTGAGGTATCTTGTTGACCCAAATAGTGCCTGGAGTGTCAAGAAAAGGCGGAAGTAGGCTTCCGACAGGAACTCGGCACTACAACAAATCAGCGTGGTTGGCGCAGATAGACTTTCTACCGACTTACTTGGGCAGATGCAAATGTGGATTTGTATATATGAGGGCGAACAAGGGTGGGTGGGTTGTAGTATTTCGGGTAGAAAGAAGTCCTATCCAGTAGGCTCGGGGAACGCGAACGCTGAGAGTCATCGCTTTGAGATGATTCGAAACTCTTCATGGACAGCGGCGAGACGGAGGATGTAGTGGGTAACTCAGAGAAGACGCTTCCTGCGGAAACCAAAGAGGACGATGCGGAGTCATCTAAGATTTGGCTTAGCTGAAAAATCAAGATTATGGAAGATAGAGTGTGACGAGTAGTACCAGATTCAATGAAACGGATAAATGGCGCGTCGTCACCGGTCGGGCCATGCGCTGTGACGAATATCGACATGTTTAACGGGGTCATAAGCGGTGGTGGTTGTTGGTGATAGTGGTGGTGAGAGGGAGACGCGGTTTGAAACTCCGCTGGCTTTGATCGGAATACAGAGGACTCATCACATGACGACGTTGTCCAAGTTCTACAATTAACGTGGCGCTTCGCTGGGACATAATGAGTCCTACTGCACAGCGCGCTCCACTGTGTCCCTTCGTCTCTCAAACCGCCACCATCCGCCACCCAATAGACCCCCCATGTCGAAAAGGAGTGACTTCTAGAGGGAAGCCAGAAGTTTCAAGTCATGTAGCAGAGGGCAAGACACAGATGGGTTTATTGCAGGTCTAGATTTCTCTACTGTGATACCCGTGTATGAGGATTGGACAGAGTCATAAGCAAACTTGTCGCCACTCTTTGACAGTTTTCATTCATAAAGGTTGTGCGACGCTAAACGGAAAGCGAGTCGGAATACAGACGTACGCGGCGTCACGCTCGAACTACCTGGCGTCAGCAGAGGATATGCCAAACAGCGTGGAGAAGCGTTTTGAGAAACTAGAATTCCAGTTCTTCTGGGAAGGAAAGACAGCAAGAGTAAATAGACCAACCCTGAAACTCCCACTAGACGAGGGGGGACAGAACCTAGTTGACATCAAGCTGCGAAACGATGCCATACACCTTGTCCACCTCATCAACTTCCTGGGATTGAACGGCCCGGTACCGCGCTGGGCAGTCGTAGTCCAGGACATCCTAAGGTGTAACGTACTCAGCGCGTATAAGAACATGGGTCCAAACATACTCACCAATATATTTCTCCAGACGTGGGACTCGGTCAAGAGTGACCTGCCGTCAGACGTGAAACGCATGCTAAAAGTAGCACGGGAAGTCAACTTGACGCTCGACGGCCTGGATATCACACCGGAAGTAAAAAGATCACTGCCAATATGGCTTCACCAAGGGTGGGCGCCAGACAATAACAGGAGAACGAACGATGAGAAGGCGAGATGTCTCCAGGCGGCCCATAAAGTCTTAACGACAGGGGACGCACAAGACGTAGCTGAGGGGAGAGACGAACGTCTGGTAGGGTGTGAGGATACAGCGGCATGCCAGCGCAGAGCACAGCAACTCCTCGATGCGCTGGACCCCAAATGGGACCCAAGGACACCGAGTGCACCGAACGACCGCCCCGCTAACGCGGACGAAGCAGAAAATGAATTCCCACGACACGTGACGCCGGTTAGTGATGTCGCGGATCTCTTCAGAGTTTTTGCAAAGGGAAAGGATCTGAGAGGGGCTGAGGCTCATGTTGTCAAAGACGTTGCGGAGGCGGAACCCCCTGTGCACAAGAACGCCTGCATAGCGCTGGAACGGAACAAGTTGAGTGATGACGGGGTGGGAGTGTGGTTCAAGACGGATGACCCACGGAACACCCCGCTAATCCCCCCAAGGGATATGAATGATGAAACGACACTAACGGCCCTGGGGATTCAAAGGATCCTTGAGTGTACGCCTGAGTCGGCCGTTCTGACAATAACGGTGAACTCGAAAACGGCAATCAAGAACATGACGGCGCTCCTAAGCAAAAACGAAGATGCAGGATGGCCAAAGACGCGCCCCGAGCATAAGAAACTGATGCAAGGTGTGGAACCACGCCTGCGGGAGAGGAAAGCGGAGACACACTTCAAGTTGGAAATGGGACAGAGACACCCTGGAATGAAAGGAGCACGATCCCTCGCTATAACAGCAGCAGACCAGAGCTCAGCTGGACAACCGACGGACTGCCGGACATAGAGAAGTCAAACGCGATGTTGACGGGTATGAAGCTAAGAGGATTAACGCAACGCAAAGCGTATATCGAGCTGAAGAAACGCCTGGCAGTCAA